CCTACAAGATTTCAACATGTAATTAAAAAAAAAAAAACTAAATTATTATTTTAGGTATCATATAATATCTGGCCGCGAACAGACACTAAATAGTTTGGATTCAAACTCGAGATCATTGATTAACTTAAAACAACTTCCCATCAATTGATTCATGTACTTGGTGGTAAAACTAATTTATTTTTAAGTGATCGAAATTAGATAACACGAAAATATTAACTGAAGATAGAAATTGTAAAACAGGGTACAAGCTAAAAATACATGAATGATGCATCCAGATGGGATAAGGACAAGAGAAACACCGTAAGATCAATATTCAAGCGGTGATGGCATAACAATGAAAGGACAGGTAGCTGCATTTGCATGATGTGCATGGTCATGTTCATGTACCTTCACCATCTTTCAACAATTTATATTAATGGATCGAGAGTGTGGCCCATACCATGCCCTACCAGTAGGGAAATGGCATTATGTAATCCATCTGACTTAGGTAAACTTTGGCGAATTCTTTAATCACCAAAATAAAGTTCTCACATTCGAACAAGGAAGGTACAAAATAACATGTAGCCATGTGACTCTCGAAAGCAAAGTTCCAAAACCTTCCAAATCAGAGGCGTTACTTTTGTGTGCGAATCCAAACCCAAAGCTCCGCAATAATTCCATTACGAGTTATAACCTTCATAATGTTGAAAATCTTTCTTTTTCTCGAATGATTAATAATCTAAAGCGATCTAAATCTATATGTAGCATAGCAAAACGACGTGACTGGATCTTCCTAGCTATGAAATTTGCTTTCTCCAACTTTTTTTCTTGACAACCTGTTATTCCTCTGTTTGAAGGTTGGGTATCTTTCGTGACGTGAAGTGATCAAAGATACATTTTTTTCTTGAATAAATCCTACCCCCATAATTCCATTATTTTTCACCGACTTATTGATTATTCGATTAATTAAGTTTGAGTAGGGCAAGATTATAAGGATAGCAAAAATTTTCTTATGAAATTTTTAACACGTATTCAGGACTCGAACTTAAGATACTGGTTAAATTTAAACAATTATGTAATAGTTGATTCACGATTTGGAGGACTAAAACACCATTTTAATATCGTTGGGCAAAAGAATTGTCCAGTTAAAACTGATTAGATAAGTTTTTTCAAATTAATGCAGTCAAACATGTCACTGGTACTGACGGGACTGATGTCATGTCACCACCACGTAGGAAGTCTCGTCATCGTAAAACTTCAAAAGACCATAACTTTTGATTCGGGTATTCAAATTAGGTATTTTTTTTATTTCTCATAACTTTTCGAGATCTACGCAATGATTCCTCATTTGACATATTTTATCTCCCACAAACATTGTTTGAATTTGCAATAATAGTTCCACAATTATGAGACCGTTTAAACCCAGAAGCTCTCGAGTCCTTTTCGAACCAATACCATGAGCTGCAGCACGTGCCATCGATTTCTTGGCCTAGTTTTCCCACGATTAACCTCTGAGGCAACGATTTTTTCAGCAACAAGATCAGTACTTTGGGGCTTTATGTAAGAAGAAACGTTGTTATTCGTTGTTGCCTGTGCGCGTTGATGGAGAGGAAACCATTGTCATTATCTGTTATTGTTGGATAGTTGAAAAATAAGAAAAGAAATTAAATAACATCATTCACATAGATAAAACGTGTCAATCGATGGCATGTGCTGCTGCTTATGGTGTTGATTTGGAAAGAACTCAGGAGCTTCTGGATTTAAATGTTCTTGTAATTGTGGTACAATTATTACAAATTCAAATTTTGTTTGTAGGAGATAAAATATGTCAAATGAGGTTTAATTGCGTAAATCTCGAAAAGTTATATGAAATAAAAAAATCGTCTAATTTGAATACCCGAATAAAAAATTATGACCTTAAGAAGTTTTACTATGACAGAACTGTCTACATTACGTTGACATAACATCAGTCTTGTTAGGATCATTGACGAGACTAGTCATATCTGTACCAGTAATACATTTCACTACATTAATTTAAAAAAACTTATTTACTGAGCATTTTTTTTTTGCCCAAGAGTCTTAAAAATATGCTTTTGCCCGATTTGAGTTACCTAAATAATTCATATTGTGAATTAAAAGATAAATAGGTGTGGATTAATCATATAGTATGCGAATCCCCCTATTTGGTGCGTGAGCGTATGGGAGCGATGATGGGATCACTTTATTCTTGAAATTGGTAAAATGTCCAAGACCACTTCATCATAGATAGTGCTTCTTCCGTTCCACGACAACATATGCATAGTATAGAGGAAAGGAAACTTGTGGCATAAGATGACGCCAATTCCTTTTCATATATGCGAACATGACGAAACGGTATAAAAAAAGTGCCTTCAACACTTCTATTATTATCATGAGACAGAAGGGTCGGAGATTCGAGATGGAAAGCATGCTTATATAAAATTGTTAAAGTTCCCTTTTAATACTTTTATTCTAATTTATTAAAATTAGGACCGTTTTAGTATTATTTGATATCTTTTAATATTTATGACTCCGAAGTTCACAGCCAGATTTTTTAAAATTCGACATTAATTTAAAATTTAAGCGGGTTATAAGTTTATTAGTTTAACCTTGTTAGAGTTTTGGCCCCACGGTTACGCATAATTATTTATTTACTATTTTTATTCATTTATAATTTATTTTTTGATACATCATTTATAATTTATATTCATTAAGGTGTTAATTAGTCTCTATTTTTCATGAAGGATTAATCTTTATAGTTAAAATATTGGTCTTAAAAAATGAGTGAACATATAAAGATTGATATTCAAAAGAAAAATGTAGAAACTAAAATATTTGTGGGAAGAAATTATTAAAACGAAAATCTTATATAAACCTATAGAAAGTTATATTCTTTAAAGAAAAGAAAAAATAAGGGATAGTTTCTTGTAGGCATTTCATACATGTGTTATTGTAGTTAAAAAAAATCCTATTAAGTGGATACGATAAGTTATAGACACTAAAATAAATAGTTAATATGTGTTAAAACTTAAAATTGTAAAAATCATATTACAAATATATCTACTTTTTAAAAAATGTCTTTTAAACATGTCAAACTATTAATTTAAAGGAAAATCATTTTCTATTGTAATAGGAGATAATTTTCTAATGTTATGAGACATCGAAATCTGTGTTATCCTCTTTTTTTTTTTAACAAGTGGTGGCCACATCATTTATTATATCTATAGCATGAGAGATGCTACCGCATGTAACATGATAAAAGAAAAGCCCTAATTTAAATGGCTATAATATTAAGGATTCATTTTTTCTCATGTTACAGGAATTTTTTGAAAAAAAAAATAACTATATAATATTGGTAGTACATAGTTATAAGATGTATAAAAAAAGCTTTAATATTATAACTATGTACTATCCGTAATACATAATTATTAATTTTTGTAAAAATTTATAACTAAATACTATCCATAGTATATAATTATTTTGTTATTATAAAAATTCTTGTAAATGAGAATTTTGTTTGCCTAATATTAAATACACCTACCTAAAGATTAGTCTAATGTAGAATCCACTTAATACTCCAAATATAGACTGTCATCATTTTATACTGTTTTACTAAGATTGGATTAGTAGTGTGATACTTAAATTAGTTGTCAGACATGTATAAAATTATTAAAGTAGCATCACCGAACATATATAAATTTTTGGGTTGAATTAATTTTTTTATATGATATTAAAGTCTCAGTGTCATGGATTCAATTATCATCGTCCTCATTTAATTAATAATTAATTGAGTTTTATAAAGTTTCTTAGCATAGATAACTCGTAGGTTGATCTGTGCATTGTTCATCCTTCAATCTCAGTAGATTTTTATATGAGGGATATATTAAAGATATATAAAATCATTAATATAGTCTCACTCAATAATTTAAACTTTTTGATTGAATTGATTCTTTATGATAAAATATTTAATCTTTCTTCATCATCATTAAATCTGTATTTTGCAAATTTGTTAAAAAAATTATGTGTTCAAATAAACGTTAATTACCCAATAAATGTGATAAGAAGTGTACAAACAACTTGTTCAATATTAAAAGACTTGCAGGGGCAAGGCAACTGTACTAACTTTGTAAAAAAAAAAAAATTAATTTGGCACTTTGATTTTTAACACCAAGGGTTAAAAATTTGTCATTTTAAAAAGATATAACTTATATATTTTTAATAATTTATAAGTATGTATTATGGATAATATGTAGTTATAATATTAAAGTTATATTTTTTTTCTATTTTTTACATCTGTAAACAATATCTAAAGAAAAAAAATTAATATTATAATTATATATTACTCATAATATATAATTATAAATTAATAAAATATTTCAAGTTGAAGATAATTGGTGTCATACTTTTGTAGCAGATTACTGTTGTTCAGTGCAGCAGTAGGAAGATAGAGTCAAACGTTAGAGTCCCGCGCTGCTGAGAAAAATCTAACTCCTGCTGTGTATGTGGGAGTCACGTGTAATGGATACACACGTATCTTATAACTAGAAAAAACATGTCACCAATAAAATCCCAAAAATACACTCACTCTCACGTCCACTTCTACTCTTTCTCTTTGTCCATACACCATTCTCTCTCTGCCATTTTGTTTTTCTTACTCTGTTACCAACATGATACTAAAACAAACACAAACAAAAAGGAAAGCAACATGTCTAATGTCTCTATCAACCTTAACAGCTTACCATCCCAATCCAATTGTCGTTTACTCTTTCCCTCTCAACCAAACTCATTCACTTCTCTTCTTTCTTCTCCTCTTCTTCAACTCTTCTTCAATTCTTCTTCTCCTTGCACTTTTCACCACGAACTTTACTTACCGAACCTATAATCACATTTTTATGAGTAACTAACTAAACCCCTTTTTAGTTTTACCTCACTTTAATACTCAGATCCTTTCAAGTTTAGCTAGCGCCAACCCATTATTGCTTGCTAGTTAATTAACCCAAAAAATGACGCGGCTATTTCGATCCAAATCATGTGGACTTGTGGGTGGTGAGTTCAACCCTTCTCCACCAGGTCCATTCTTCCAAGATGTTAACAACAAGGAGAAAGATTATGAAGAAGAAGAAGAAGAAGAAGAATTAGACAGTGATAACGATGATGACGATGATAATGATGGTGGTAATTCAAGCAACCATGTCTCAATGCCCTTCACAAATCCTGGTCCAAAAGTAGGTAGAAGAAACAACCAATCCCATAATCAACACCAGTTTGCAATATTGGATGTTCTTGTGGCTGCGCTTAAGAAATCACTGGTAACTTGCAGTGTGGAGAGGGAAGATGTTTCATCCATGGATATAAGCTGGCCAACCGAAGTGCGCCATGTCTCTCATGTTACCTTTGATAGGTTCAATGGCTTTCTGGGTTTGCCATCAGAGCTTCAACCAGAGGTACCCACCAGGGTGCCTAGTGCCAGGTTAATTTGTCTTTTGTTTTTCTTCTTATTAATCTCTATTGTTTTTAGAACATGAAAATGGGTTATTGAATTAAGGCTAAAGGTTCAATTTTGTTGTGATTTTCTTCGGATCAGAGTGTGTGTCAATTTTCACTGCTAAATGCAGTTGATTGAATTTTATGCATCCACCAGGGTGTTCTAAAATGGGGGAGGAAAAAAACTTGGGTTTCGTTTGTGGCTATGATTAAAAGGGCTTCTTGTTGACCTATCTTCTCAGTGTTTAGTTACAAGTTCAAAACAAAATTTAACTACAGTTTCTGAATTTAAGGTTCCATGAAAATTATATAAACCTTTCTAAAGAAAGGTTTCTGCTTTATCACTTGGTTTATATCAGTTCAAAGTTCAAACTTGATTCAATTTCAAGTTGATGTCATCAAAATGCTGGTCTTTTCTTGTTGGATGCTTCATATAACCTGTGAATCCACCAAAATTTATCTTCGGTTTTATTGCACATAATAGGTTTCAATGGTGGAGTGGTTAGGCTGATAGGAGAGGAACAAGGTTACATTTGCGTTTAGTGTATTAGTTGGCTAGCATCTCCAACTCAAAATACACTGTTAGGTTTTATTACTTAAAATCAAAGAAAAAAGATTTTTGTGTCTGGATTTGTGGCTGCATAGCCAATACAATTTAGAAATGGTCCTTGAGTTGATCATGTGGTGTTTGCCTTTTATCTATGTCCTTCTATCTTCCTGTTTTTGTTTGACTTAGTTCTAATACCGTCATTAAATCATGCAGTGCAAAGGTATTTGGAGTTTCTGCAAAGTCGATGCAGTGCTCTTATGATGATAGGGGGAACAGTGTCCCTACGATTCTGCTGAAGATGCAAAAGCAATTATATTCAGAGGGAGGCCTTAAAGTATGTTCTGTTTGTGTTGGATTATTTGTTAAAATCATTTGACTCAATGTTAATTACATTTTACTTTTGAGGTCTAATTTCATGCTTTCCATGCCTGAAGGCAGAAGGAATATTCCGTATTAATGCTGAGAATAGCCAAGAAGAGTTCGTTCGTGATCAGTTAAACAAAGGTGTAGTGCCACATGGGATTGATGTTCATTGTTTATCTGGTTTGATGAAGGTATTTACTAAGATGCCTAGTTCAACTTCTCTACTGCATTAGAATTAATTGGAATCTACTCCTTTGATTTTCACTTAATAGTTTTTGGCTTTAATGTTTTTACAGTGAATGTAGATAAGGTTATCTACGTTCGCTCCAAAAACGATGTAGTTTTGGGTCGAAAATTTAAAAAATTATAATGAAAAAGATTATTATAACCTTGAAATAAATTATAATTACAAAAATACTTTGATTTCTGCCTCAAAACGACGTCATTTTGGGCTCAATGTAGATAAATTATCTACACTGACGGTAGAAAAAGTGAACCCATAGTTTTTATGCTAAAATTAGTATGGGATTTGTCATTGATCCTTCAAACATTTGATGGACAATATATTTGAGAGTTTCCAAAGTCTTTCACTTATGTATATAATATGTAAATTATTTGGAAATGGAACTCGAACATAACCTTGATTTCTGTGTGTGGTCTGCAAAAATGAATGTGAATGAAATAATAATCCTATATGTCAACAAGAGTTTAGTACTAAATTTGGGTTAGCAAGATAGATACTTACAAGAAAATCTTAAGATTGATGAACTGGAACTCTTTGCTCTTCATTTATTGATTAGTGTGCTTTATTAAGGCATTATTTCTTATAAACAACAAAGTACCACTGCATTAATGAATTATTGCGGGTGAACATGTGGATAATTTTCCTCAAACTGTTATTGATGTTTTCTTCCCATTTCTTCTTTTTCATGGCTTGTAGGCTTGGTTTAGAGAGCTTCCAACTGGGGTACTTGATTCTCTCACCCCAGAGCAAGTGATGCAGTGCAACACGGAAGCGGATTGTACTAATCTTGTGGAGTTACTTCCTTCAACAGAAGCTGCACTGCTTGACTGGGCAATCAATTTGATGGCAGATGTTGCTGAAAATGAACAGTTCAACAAGATGAATGCACGCAATGTTGCTATGGTCTTTGCACCCAACATGACACAGGTTTGTTAAACAATATGATGCAAATATATGTGATTTTCTTTCTTCTGGTTGGTTATTCTTAAACACAATTTAATTCGGCTCATTTACCAAGCTATTATCTTCGGGTAGAGCAACAGAATTTCTCATTCTCAATATGTTGATTCTCTGCTAATGTCTGGACCATTTTGCTGCTTAAAATAAACTCAACTGAGAGGGTCATTTTTAAGGAGCAATGACAAATTCAAGCTGTTTTCATACATGATAAGTAAAGTATCTTTTGGGTCCTCAATAAAAATCACGGGGCCCATTTTAATCCCTTAGGGAAAAAAAGTCGACTTGTGGTCCTTTTGAAATTCAAAATAAATCCAGTTAGTCGAAATCATGGTCCCTCTGAAATTCAAAGAAGACCCATGTAAGTTTCTCAAAAAGACTAACATGGGTCTATTTTGAATTTCAGATGGACCATGAGTTGACTTTTTTTTCTAAGGGATTAAATTGGGCCTCGTAATATTTGTTAAGACCCAAAATGTACTTTACTCTTTGTAGAATTAGCATGGTATAATAGTTTTTTGTTTTACCTTGTGCTGATATAAATCCTTTAAAAAGTGGGGGCTGTAAGGATTGAACTCGTAATCCCGTAATCACGAAGGCTCTGATAGCCATCTCAAGGTGGTAAGTGATGGCCTTCAATGATTTTATATTATATTTCTAACACATCATCTCACAAAACAGCCATTTGAGTTTGAAGCGTGGATATTGCACAGACCTTTTTTATTCTACCTTGTGCTGATTTAATTCCACTAGAAAGTGGGGGTAGCGAGGATTAAACTAGTGACTCTATGGTCTCTAATACTATGATAGACAACCATTTCAACCTAAAAGTTTAAGCTATTAAGTGATGAACTCGTAATGGTTTTTTATCTTTCTCTAACAGTGTGAACAATAATCAGCAATTGTATGCACATATTTTTTATGCTTGAGCATATTATAAAATGATATCTTCCTTGTGCTTATTATGCAGATGGCAGACCCTTTGACTGCATTGATTCATGCAGTGCAAGTTATGAACCTCCTGAAGACATTGATTCTGAAAACCCTTAGAGAAAGAGAGAAATCAATAGCTAATGCTAGATTGCTTTCATCATGCTTGGATTCTCCATCCTGCAAAGATGATCCCTCTCCTTTCAAATCTAACAGGAAGGAATCTTGTGAGCAAACTGAAGATGCTTGTGATACAATGACAAAGACACCTACTACCAAAAGAAAATTCTCGAGGACTTCTACATTAGGAAGAATAGAATTGAGTGTTGAGAAACTTCGGAACTCTGAGGAAATGATTAATGGAGATGGGGTATTCAAATCTGTTCCAAATGGTGATAGCACAAAATCTACATATGAGACTGGCCCTTTAGAAAATAGTTACACTTATAGGCGTAGATATGATAGTGAACATTGGTTGAGATTAAGAAAAGGAGTGCGCAAACTATGCAGCCACCCTGTGTTTCAATTGAGCAAGCCAACTAAGAAGCCTTCAAGTCTTGGCATTGTAAATGCTAGGGAAGGAGGTGGAGAAGCTTGGGCCTAATAATGCTTCTGCATGCTTTGCTTTTATGGCTTGTGTGAGATTGTGCATTTAGCAACTAGCATAGTATCAGTTACAACTAGTGCTTGGTTTCTTAGAAGAATTGTATGTTCATATAAGATGTTTAAAGACGTTGTTGACAAAGGCTCTTGCAAATGATTACTGTCTAGAAAAATTTAGTTGCTGACTTCAAAGAATCTCAATCAAATTAATCCGACTAAGACTGGCTTAATGTAAAAATCTACATTGTTATATAATTTTTAAATCTTTTATTCTCTCTTATTATAAGTGCAAATTTATTTATTTCACACAAATTAAGTTTATAAATTTTGTAAATTATTATTTTTTGGTTAATATTTACTTGATTCTACGAATAGATCTTCATGATTTTAAGTTCATTTATTGAGGAGTTTAGTTTTCTGATGCAACCAGCAGTCTGACGCTGGACTTGAGCGCTATTTTTTTATTTTGAATTTTGAATTTTTTATCACTAATAAATAAAATACTAGCTTATCGGTCTTCCATGATTCTTAGAGAGTAATTAAATTGATTTAAAATATAGGGTCTCACTAAATCAACTAGGATCACATCTTATTTAGTGGAAGAGAGTATATTAAAAAAAAGTGTATCATTCAGTAAATTCCTAACATTTGTGTTAATTTATTTACCCAAAATATAGAATAATTTACCACTATTTTTCATACTTGCTTCCAGTATATATTGAAGAACTGCTTACATAGGAAACTGATGCAGCCCAATTCACAGACCAACCCAAGAGAGTGAGAGACCAAGGCCCATGTTACTCCAAGATAACCAAACTCAATACCCAAGAGGCAGAAACCCATGAGCACTCCGAAAAAATCAATTTTCTTATCTTAATTTGTAATGTAATATTCCTTATCTTAATTATCTGCTATTTCAATTTCAATTTCAATTAAGAAGATTTAGATATGTAAAAGGAACCCTATGTTGGCATATTTAGAAAAGATTAGTGGGTGTCGTGATTTATGTAAGCTTGTTGCCACTCACTAAAAAAATTTATTTAACCAAAACTTTCTTTTCTAAGTGGGTAATTTGCTCTTTCATGTAAAAGTAGATGATCCATATTATTTGTCGAAATGATACAATGCACGAATTCATATCGCACTAAACAGTTTATGAACCATCACTCCATCAGCACCGTCTCATGGGTTTATGTTTTTTTTTTTTTTTTGCAAAAAAATTTATTTGTTGATAAGTAAAAGGTGACATGGACATGTTACTATTTAGTTTCACAATAAAAGCAATTCACAAAGACATCGTTTTGACGTAGTTAAACAAAGAAAATTTTATTATACTTTTCCTGTGAATTGGGTTTATCCCTCAATTTGACTTTGTCAAATACACCTTCCTTAGATAAACTTAGCTGAAGTGCTTTTTAATTATTCAATTTATCTCATGTGCATTGCATGTTTGTAGGATAATTTTTTATTATTATTATAGAAAAGAAAGAAGGGAGAAAGTTAAATTAACCTCTAGATGAAAAGTGATGCAGCATCTGTGTCATGCTTGTATGAAGAATAAAATTAATAAAATTATATTTCTTTACAAGGTAAGTGCGTTATTAATAGTTAAAACAGAGCCATCAATTTATCTAACAACATAATTTCTGGTAAAATCAAAAAATCAACCCATTTGCTACACTACATAGTTTAAATGTGACAATAGACACGTTCAAAAGAGTAAATTATAAAACAAATAAATTTTAATTAATTTTAAATTAAAAAATCCAAAGATTGATAATAAAAAAAAAATTAGTACTAAAAATATTCGAATTGTGTCCCTACTATAAATTAATAATTTGCTTGAGTTATGTGCTCGAATAAATAATAATACAATTAACTTAAGTTAACTAAAGGAATGGTCCACAAGTGTTAAAAAAAGGTACGTTGAGATGAAGCTATATATATAAATGACATGTGTTAAAAAGAGAAATATTATAGAATATCAAATTTGTAATTAAGGAGTATTCAAGCCGCAAAGCAAGGCACTACGGTTAAAAAATTACTGTGAATGTTATAGTAAGATCAACGACAAGAATAAGCAAGAATAAAATATGTTGAGTGTACCTCATCATTCTTCTAATAATGCTGCACAAGTTTTTCACTCGTGATTCACGTTTACGAACATTAAAATATTACTTAAAGTGTATACAGCATATAAATGTATTAAATTGATCGCCAATCAGCAGCGTTAGTGATGTAAATAAATTTTTATTTTAATGCATCCCTCTAAGTTTTATATGTTATCGTACCTTAATATTGGTGAAATACTCCTAGGCAAAGTATCAAACAGGGAGATGAAACAAAATAGAGAGCTCAAGATTATCTTGAAATCTAGGAAAGATTTTGTCTGGTCTTAGAAGTTTCATAATTAAAATATCATATATTAATTTTCAAGTGTAGAATTATTGATAATCTGACAGCATGATAAAAACATTATTTATTGTGACAAGTATTTTTTTTTTTTTTTTTGATAACATTGTGACAAGTATTAATACACATATGACATATGTGTATTTATTTTAAGAAAGATATGTTATGTTTGGATTGCCGTTTTTCCATTAAATATGCTTTGTTTTTTCCCCTTTCATATGAAAACATCATTTACGTTTAAATATATCTTCTCGATCTAGTTGTTCAATTACGTTATTGAGGATATGATGGTCCAACCACTCTAAAAATCTTATCAATTTGAAGTCTCCAAGTTGTTTAGCAAACATTCCAAAATTGAATTAAGGTCTTCGAAATTTTGAGTCTTGGGCAATTACATCAAAATTTTGATTCGGCAGAACAGTATACATACAATGATATATCAAAGAAGAAAATTTTGATTGCTTATTGTATAAGTCATTAGTGCAACTATATCAAAAACTACTAAGTACTAACATTTATACATTCTTATATTTCTAAAATATTGGGATTTTTTTGAAAAATTTACCAGAACAATACTACTCGATACTTGCACACACCCATTTCAACCAAAAATAAAAAATAAAAAATGACATCCTTGAGCAAGATTTATTGAATTTGTGCAGGGCAAAAATATAGACTCTATACACTAACAGTATATCCAGCTTTAGAGGCTGAGAAGGAGGTGTATTTCTTGTTTTCGCTATTTTTGGTTGTGTCAATCACACATATTCGCAAATAAAAAATGAAAGGAAGAATAACAGGACACTCAGATTACCACGATTTACCCCAATGTAGCACTAGTGCAATAAGTCTGTCACTATATTTTTGCACTCAAATATAAAAAATTATAAAGTCTTAGAAATTCTAAGTTGCAAAAATTATTTATGAATTCAAGCCTAAAATACTAAACAAAAGAAAATTATAAGATATTCTAAACGCACAATACTTCCCCTACACCTTCATTGTGACAGCCCCTATTTGCCTCAACTATGTCAGTGAGATATTTCTTGACGTAAAGTATGAACCATACTCAAGTTGTGTTTTTTATACGACAAAAGTTATTAAAAAAAAAACAAAAAAAAAAATGTCCTTGAGTATTATATGCATCAAATATTTATTTTTGAATACATATTTAATATTTAATATTTATAGAAGGTTAAATCTTCAAACATATATATACAACAAAATGTATTATATATTTAATTTTTAGTTATTATATAATAATATCATATATATATATATGGGTTTTGCATTTGTCATGTTGCATGACAAATGCAAAGTTTCCTACACATACATCGATATTTGTGTTGCATTTTTTTCTTTTTCTTTTTTATTTTAAACATGATGGACCCATACTTATTATCTCTATAGCATGACAAAAAAATTGTTCTACAACATGATACTTGTTTTTCTATATATATATATATATATGAATATTTTTTAATTTATTTATTGTTCATTTGTAATAACATTTTTATTCATATTAATAGAATTCTTTAATTCTAAATGTAAAATATTAATAATATTAATATATTAAACTTATATATAGAGAGAGGGGTGGGGTGGGGGAGAGGCACACTCACACTTATGTATGTATATAAATATATTTTTTACTACTTTAAAAATAAATTAGTCATATTTATTTAATTCAAATATAAAGTAACATTTTCCTGAAAACTATAAAAGTAGTTTTTATATTTTTTTAAATAAAATGCACGATTAAATACAATTATTAAAAAGAATTGACACCCTTTTGACAAGAAATCGTATTGAAGCAACCTTTGTCAAATTAAACGTACATATTTATTATTGACAGGCCGGGCAGGTCAAACTCAATGTGTTTTTTTTTTTCATACTAAGTCCATGTCCAGCTCAATTTTTTCTTTGGAATTCAAATTCTAGATCTAAATAAGGCATTTTCAAGTGGAGGTGGGAAAGTGTTCCATATGCTAATATATTTTACCAAATGCAAAAATACAAGAATAAATAAATCTTATTTAGGCTATAAAAAAAATCTTAATTAGTATATTTAACTTTTAACTCTAGTTAACATGCAATTATTAGTAAAAAAAAAAATTACACATAAGTACCCTTGTAGAATGAAAAAGAAGCCTTAATTGGGTTACCTGTTAATAAAAGAAGTCGTATCCTATTCCTAATTATTCCAATGGCACTAAAAAGTCGCAAACAGACAACGACGTGACAGTTAATAAGCCAAAGGGAGCAATTACTTTATTTAATCTTAACTATTATTTTCACACGATGCCACAGAAATTCATTCAATAGATTCTAGTTTATTGTATACAAGTCATAATCGTAACCCACATACCACTTATATTGTCCTATCCATGCGCCAGTGGACCTCTCGCTTTCTCTTCACGTGCTAGTGGTGCCCAATAGTGACTGCATATTAAGCTGAATTGGACCCCATTTCCCCAGCCATTCCCACCAAATTTAACACTCTTGCCCCCTTCACCATATAACCCCCCCACTCACCCATCCTAACTCTCCAAAATTCCCATATATTTTTTTTCAAGTGAGTGTTTGGTAATTGACACTGTTTCCTTACGCTATAATGATTGTCCATCCGTACAACATTTAGAACTTCCTCTTTTATTCTACCATTGCCCAATTTTTCTTAGCCACTTGTTTCATTCTTCCCAACCTCTCCAATCTCATCACTCTCTCACACACCCTTTTCACAGACACACACACTTTGTTTCTTCTTTTGCTTCTTGCCATTTCACTCTCTCTATGGAGGACTTTATCATCTCTCCTTCTTCATCCTCAGTCTCTCTGACCCAAGAAAACACATCACCAACCCTTCATCAAAAGCTTCAATTTTTACTCCAAACCCAACCTGATTGGTGGGTCTACGCCATTTTTTGGCAAACCACGAACGATGAAAATGGCAACCTCTACTTATCATGGGGTGAAGGCCATTTCCAAGGCACTAAAGAAACCACCCCAAAATCACTACCTGACATGAACACAACTATTAACCCCCAAAACCATGACCCCATTTCCGAAGAGCGAAGAAAGATCATGAAAGAAATCCAATCCCTGATAAACGACAACAACACAAGCACAAACGACGACCTAAACGACGCTGAGTGGTTCTATGTCATGTCGTTGACTCGCACCTTCTCCGTTGGCAATGCTCCTTCATCATCCCTCCCTGGCAAGGCCTTCGCCTTGGGTTCCGTTCTTTGGTTGAACAGCAAGCACGAGCTTCAATTCTACAACTGCGACAGAGCCAATGACGCGCACGTGCACGGGATCGAAACCTTAATCTACATCCCAACAACCAACGGCGTCGTCGAAATGGGTTCCTACGACACCATCAAACAAAACTGGGGTCTCGTCCAACACGCCAAATCTCTGTTAGGTTCGTCATCGTCGTCATCACCACCACCACTATCAGATCTTGTTGCCGCCATGGCACACGACGACGACAAGAACCTTAACCAAATCAAAATCTTCGACGACGACGAGAACAACAACAACAACAACAACATATCCTTCGCCGACATAGGCATCATCGCCGGTGTCGAAGAAGAAGAAGATAGGCAGAGGAAGAGAAAGGAAATGGAACCCAATAAGAAAAAGAACGATTCTTCATCAGTTCTCAAATTTGGGTCATCATCTTATGTGGATTCTGAACATTCTGACTCTGATTGTCCACTGTTAACAACAACCAACACCTCAATAGAGAAAAGAGAACCAAAGAAGAGAGGTAGAAAACCGGTTCTGGGCCGCGAAACCCCAATGAACCACGTGGAGGCAGAGAGACAGAGGAGGGAGAAGCTGAACCACCGATTCTACGCGTTGAGATCGGTGGTTCCGAACGTGTCGAGGATGGACAAGGCTTCTCTGTTATCAGATGCTGTTGCTTACATCAACGAACTGAAAGCGAAGATTGATGAGTTGGAATCGCAGAATCAGAGGGATTCAAGCAAGAAAGTGAAGTTGGAAATGGGGGATACAATGGATAACCAGAGCACAACAACAACTTCAATGGTGGTGGACCAAAAGGGGCCTCATGGTTTTGCACTTGAGGTTGATGTGAAGATCGTAGGGAATGATGCAATGGTGAGAGTTCAATCGGAGAATGTGAACCACCCAGGGGCAAGGTTAATGGGTGCATTGAGGGACTTGGAGTTTCAGGTACACCACGCTAGCATGTCATGTGTTAATGAACTTATGCTTCAAGATGTTGTTGTTAAGATTCCTAATGGCATGCGAAGCGAAGAGGGTCTTCTTAAATCTGCGATTCTCATGAGATTGGATCAGTAGTTGTTGCAATATTATATTGTCCCCCCCCCCCCCCCCCAAAAAATCTCTGGAAGATGTTGCTGTTCATAGTAGTTGTGTTTTTGTGTACGTCATCTAATAATAATGCTCTGAATCAATTTTTTCCTTTTATTAATTTTTTTTTTTCTTCTTCTCTTTGTCGTGGTGCTTACAACCTGCAATTATGTAAATATGTGTTGTTGATCAGAGGAATCTAAGACGCCTGTCTATTTGCATATCCTTTTGGATTTTGAAGACTGAAGACCAAAACTAAGGCTATCGTTGATTGCTGTTTTTAAAAACAATTTTTTAGTTTGAAGAACAAAAAAAAATTTATTTGATAAAGTTTGTTTTGTAAAAAAAAAATTAAAAATTGTAACTATTTTTTTATTTTTAGAATCAAATTTTTGTCTTTTTATTTTGATTTTTAACTTTTAAAACAAAAAAATATAGAAAATAATTATTTTCATAATTATTCTACAAAACAGTTTTAAAAATAAAAAAAATCAAAACACAATGGGTAAATTCACTGTTCAGTATCTTGTCTAGGATTTCTCAGCATCTAATCCTGGGCACGGATGTAATATTAAAACATGTGTCTATTATGCATATAATACTTTAATGGGTAAATTCAACCGCGTGACCATTTGTTGGTGGGCTTTTAATTTTATTATGTTTATTTGTGAATATATTGGATATAATTAAAAGGTGCAGGACAACTCGTCTTATTGTTGATACTTGATACCTTAATGGCTTATTTGATAGCTTTTTTTACCCTTTTTCTTTCTCATTAATTAATTAATAATTATTTTACCTTTCACTCAAAACTATTCACTAACATTATCTCTCTTTAATTGATTAACTTGAAGATTTAATGAATTAAATGGTCAAAATACAAGAATTATGTTGACCCCGAAATTTAATCGATTAAATATCTCTATAATCAATTAAATTTCGGGACATTTAATCGATTAAATGTATTACCTAGGAACTCAGAATATAGCTCAACACAAAGTGGTGGCATAACCTGGGAACTCAGGTTTTCTGAGTTTGTGTCAGCGTCAAAATCACCCTCTACGTAAGTATTTGAGGTGTCACCTAGCGGAATAACACTGTCCTCATCACTGTCCATATCCTCCTCGTGCTCATCCTCATCTATTTCCCTCAGTGTTATCTGACTTATGACAGGTGCAGGTGCAGATAAATCGACGATTATGTCTTCTTGACCAAAATATTGGTCTCTTCTTGTATGCATGGGTGCAGATGAAGATTGACCACAATCTATTTCAATATATATCTCAATAAAATTTTGAAATTTTCGGTCAACAATTGCATCTATGACACATTTCACATCTTCATCATCACATATAACATTACCAATGTAGTAAGGGTGTCAAAATGGGTTGACACGACACGAATTTGACACGACACGAATTTTTGTTCATGTTAAAATCTTCAACATTGATACGACACAAATTGTTTGCGTGTTGACACGACACGAATAACACGCAAAATAGGGGTCAAAACGGTAATTGACAACAAAATTTAAAAAAAATGGTTCAAAATTAAAAAAATTAAAAAAATAATTAAAATAAAATAATTAAAAAAAAATATGGGTCGACACTAACACGAATACCTCAACACGAACATGACACGAATTTTTAACGTGTCGTTTTTTCCATCACGAACACAACACAAATTTTTTTACGGGTCAACCCGAACACAAATTTTCATGTCGTGTCGTGGATCGACCCACGTGTCATAACCTATATTGACACCCCTACAATGTAGTATATAGCATCCTTACTAACTGTAGACTCTACCCTGGCTATCATCCGATGAACGCATTGGCTGCCTTGCAGTCCCAATTTTTGGTGAATTCTCCCCTTCAGCTCATTGTATGTAGTGTCCCGTTTGATTTTCAACATTTTTGTTTTTCCTTTAAATTGAACACCATTGGGGCCTTCATAATGCTTTCCATCATAATAGATCATTGTAACATACATGATTGGACTTGTGCTTATCTTTCACACGAATTTGGGAGTAGGGTTCGGATTTTGAGGGCAACAAATGAATATATAAGTGCAATGACAATGATTTCACAATATTAAGGCTTTAGAGATGTGGGATGAAATAGAATCGTGATTGCAAGGATTACATATGACAAACAAGAGAGATATTAGTTTACAAAACAATAATATTTGAAATGAGATCGAGAAAGGGAAAAATATAGGGTTTCTGCCGACATTTAATCGATTAAATATTGTGTCTTAATCGATTAAATGTCCCGAAATTTAATCGATTAAGATGGATATTTAATCGATTAAATTTCGGGTCAACGTAATTCCTGTATTTTGACTGTTTAACCAATCAAATCTTCAAGTTAATCGATTAAAGAGGAGCAGGATGGTGGATAGTTTTGGATGATAGACAAAAGCGTCAAAAACCCTTAGTTGATGGACTAAATAGAATAATGACTAATAAAATAAAAAGGTCAGATAAGAATAAAAAATAATAAAAACATGACGAGCTCGTACGGATCTCCGTGTTTAATATGCACTACATGGACTTATGGAGAATAATTTCGATCGTTCCCCAATTATCATTGATTAAGTGGTCCGGATCAATTAAAATAAGATAATTATTAAGGAGGGAGAAGAAAAAAATTTTGTTCAAATATCATCCACTGAATAAAAAGATTACATGAGATCTGGAGCATCAAAAAATTTTCCGCACTATATGAGCTATATGATATTCTATTTTGTGTTTGAAAAAAACTGGATAGCATTGAAATATAACATAAATAGTCAAAAATATTCATTATAACATAAATTTATATATATTTTTTTAAAAATTTGATTTTAAAACTTTTTCCTTTTAATTTATTTATGGATTACTTCCCATTTATTTATTTTTAAATAAAAGTCATATTTTAAACAAAGTGTATTTAAATATATAAAATAACTTATAAAATTTTCCAAAATGAAAAAATTTAGATATTTACCAAAAAAAAAATTAAAAATGTTTTAAATTAATTGCCATTTTTTATGTATGTATCAATATTTGGATAAAGTTAGACATTCGTTATTTGTTGAAAGTTAAGATTTTTCTTTTAAGAATATACATCATGGTGGCAATGGTACGTTGGTGGCAATGGATGGGGGTTGTGATGGCAATTGTGATGAAGATGGTGCTACTACTACTAGTGATAGAAGTGTTGGCTAGCCTATAGAAATGGTGGTGGCAAGTTGTGGCGGTGTCCTAAAGCCGACGACGATGGTAGGATGAGCTCTCATATTTTTAAGCAAGTTTAAGAAGGGAGAGGGTTAATTTTGGAAGAAGAGTTTTCTATATTATTACGTTGAATCTTAACACAAGCCCCTTAAGGAAAATTAAGTTTATCAGCAGAAATATGAATAATTTATCATGTCCACCACACATGTCCTAGATTCAGACATGCAAAATTATATGTAGTTCCTCCCTAGTTTGCAAAATAACAAACACCTCCTGAAAGTGTCTAAAGGAAAAGGTGAATTGTTAACATCATTTACATTTTCACCAAATTAGAAACTATCCTATTAAAGTTACAGTAACTAATTCGTGTGTGAATATCGTCATCTGATTCAACCTAAACCAAGTGCGCGCATTGATATTTGCAGCTATTGTCCTGTATGATTTTATGCATCAGTGCTATTGTGTACCAAATTTTTCGTTTCCATTTTCACGTCTATTTAGATAGCATGACTATTAAATTTTAGTTGAAAGCAGAATGAGAAGAAAAAGGAAAAAGAGTGTTCATAGAAAGGAGAGATGGTTGGCATCTCCCCTGACAGGGACGAGAAATGTCTCAAAAAAAAAAGAAGGAAAAAAAATAAAACTTGGCCCATGGTCCCCAGGTTCTCCGAGTGATAGAACTAGGATAAGACTTGAGTATGAAAAAGCAAAAAACTTATAGGAAAATTATAAGCCACAATTTCAGATATTCAAAATCAGTCCGTTCTATCAATTGTCTCTAGCCCTTATTTGTTGTTTATGTAACTTGACCTGTGTTCTATCCAATTTACCCGGACATGTTACGACTCCGGGGTAAGACTTCTCGGCTATATAGAATTCCGTGTGAACATGAAGTTGGTTGCAAAGAAAAAGTTACTAGGAATCTAAAAGGGTGTGAAGTCTCACATAGGACAGTGGCGGCGATGGTGGAAAGATGCAACTTGTTGCGCATGCTACATGGACATTTGCCCATATGTAAGTCACACACCTTCTTCATACACGACTTAAACGATCTCTTAAAACATCTTATAGCATTATTTTGATAAAATCTTTAAATTTTGAATCCATTGGGTAAAACCTTTCCCATTTTGCATCACTATAGTCAAAAAGCCTTGTAATTCCAACGTTATTATTATTTCAAACCCAATAAAAGCATAAACATTTTCTTTTTTATGGGTTTGATATTTGATCTGGACAAATAGTAAAGACAAGGTGCAAATTAAAAACCGTCATCATTAAGTAAAGACTGTGATCAATGAAAGCTGCAACCTCATCTCTACCACAAGCCTATCTCATCAAGCTCCCCAGTGTTAAATGGTACAACTGTATTACTTTGGCAGCAAGACAAAGCAAATTTGATCACTAAGCAAAATCGTCAAGTTGGTCATCTCCCAAGCTGCTCATCTCTCTGCTATAAAAGCATATATGATAACACAAAAGTACAAATCTTCTTTTACATAATAAAAACCTGTTTGAACCATATCTGACTTGAGCGTCGGAGTGTCTTGCAGGTACACCCTCCATCTTGTTCCATTGAAGACCCAACGGTTAAAGCTGCTCCAACTGCAAGATGCCCTGACTCGGGACGGTTCCAGGCCATTTGTGTAGAGGAAGATCACATGATCAACCCAATTGTAAAATTGGTTCTGATCAGATATACTCATGTATATATACATAATTACGAAATTGGATTACACATTATAGTGATTTTGCAAAGAGTCAGATAATTACGAAATTTTCAAATTGGAACCCTGATGTTATAGCTTTTGCAGGACCCAGGTGAATTGATGGGTTGGGTTGAAAGGTGCTTCAAATAGAATAGGACATGGCCTGTTTCTATTTATTTTTTCCTTATCATAGTACAATGTTGTTTGTCTTGGACTCGGAACCCATGTGAATGCAGCACAGAAGTGACAGCAACACAAAGCTAACCACACAGCGTTGATAAGTAAACTGAGCTCGCTGAAAAAAAAAAAATCTTGGTTTAATTTCACTTTTTTTATTATAATTAATATCCGATTTTAATTTTTTTATAATTTCTTAGAAATTAATTTTTCTAATTAAAAATCAGGTTCATCTATTGGTATATTATTCATATATCAATAAAAATTAGAGATATGACGAACGATTTATATGCTTAACAAGATGTTTGACTTGACATTTAATTTCATTTTTTTAACAAGATTTATATGCTTAACAAGATGTTTTACTTAAATTCTCTATATAAATAAATTATTAATAAAATATTATATTTAAATAAAGAAAAAAATATTTATCATTTTAAATGAAATGAAATCGTTTTGATATGATTTTTAATATTATCTCTTCTCAATTTTTTCTCTCTTCCTAATTTTATAGAAATGAAAGAATGTAAAAAAATTAATAAATATACACAAAAAGTAAGTAACTTAATTATTACAAAAAAGTATTAGAAGAATAATATAGAATATTGAACATAATAAATGAAACAGTAATTACAGTTAAATCTATTTTTTAGTTTAAAGACACGTATTTAAAGTTTGTACTGTTTGAATTATAGTCATTCACTTGCAAACAAAAATCCTCCATCTAAATATTGACTAATGCATGACATAATTTGACATGAGCAAGACGTCTAATATTAGACTATGTACCACCCTGCTCCTATTTTGATTCCGTTCGAGTCATATACCCATCATGTATCAAAGAGTTTTGCACGTTATTGTCCAAATTCATTTTCTCACCTCTTTCTTACGGATATGCTACAGCAAAAGCATTTAATGTTAAACGTGTAATGTTGGATTTGTAAAATCTGAAATATTCGTGATGATCTAATTATGTTTATACACAATAAAAGAATTTAGATAAAATGCGAAAAAATTAATATCATAAACACCTCTCGTTATTTTTGTTTGTTCCGAATATGAGTTGCAGTTATCCGTGAGTACCTTGTGAATCTTTCAAGATCTAGCTCTTATACACAAATGATGTATTGCATATATCTAAGAGTGAGCTCAAGACCCCGGCCCAAGTCTGAAGTCATACCATATATAGACCCTAACCATCAAGGTGTCTGTTATTAGTGGTGTGCAGAAAATAAGGTTGTTAAGATTTTTTGACTGTTAGTGGAAGACTATTGCTAAAAAGATGTGGACTATATTTTTGACTTTATTATCCTCAGTTTGTTACGAAAGATAAAATATACTAGCATTCTTCCACTTTCACATATCTCATCGTATACTATAGTGAAAAATAAGATACATGAATCACGACGATAGTTCCTCTAATTTGTACGAGTATTATCTTTCATGTATTACACTGTATTATATTCCTTAAGCCCATACAACTTAAGGAATAAACCCAATGTTTATTCTAAGTCTAAACTTAATTGATGTTTCTCAGAATAAATTAATAATGATAGATGCACATAAACTGAATGAAAAATATCACAAATAGAGTTTCATAATATCATTCTTATAATGAAAATCACATATGGGAACCAAGTCCCACATTTTCCACATGATCCTAAAATTTAAATGGTGGCATGCCCTTAGTTAAAGGATCATCAATCATTAATTTAGTGCTAATGTGCTCAATAACCACTGTATTATCTTTAACACGCTCTGTTTTGGCTAGATACTTAATGTCGATGTGCTTGCTTCGACTACCACTTTTATTATTCTTAACCATAAAAACAGCAGATGAATTATCACAATATATCCTTAATGGCCTAGATATAGAATTCATAACTCTAAGCCCATAAATAAAACTTCTTATTCATACACCATGTGAGGTAGCCTCAAAACAAGAAACGAACTCAGCCTCTATAGTGCAAGTAGTTGTCAAGGTCTGCTTGACACTCTTATAAGACACAGCTTTACTGGTTAGCATAAAAATATATCCCGAAGTCGATTTTCTCGAATCAACGCAACCAATGTAGTCTGAATCTGAATAGCCAATCACTTTCAAGTTGTCAGTTCGTCTATACATAAGCATGTATTCCTTGGTTCCTTGAAAGTATCTCATCACTTTCTTTGTAGCTTTCCAGTTGTCTAAACCTGGGTTACTTTGATATCTCCCTAACACTCCAACCGTAAAAGCAATATCAGGTATTGTGCAGACCTGAGCATACATAAGGCTTCCAACAACTAAAGCATAAGGAATGTTCTTCATTTGTTCCTTATCAAGATTATTTTTCTAGCATTGGCTTAAACCAAACTTGTCACCCTTCACAATGGGAGCTACACTTGGTGAACAATCATTCATTCTAAATCTTTCTAAAACTTTGTTGATATAGGTCTCTTGAGACAAACCAAGAACACATGTTACTCTGTCTCTATGCATTTTGATACCAATAACATAAGAGGAATCACCTATATCCTTCATATCAAAATTCTTAGAAAGAAATTGTTTCACCTCATATCTCAAACCCTTATCATTGGTTGCACATACAGTATAAGAAAACAAATTTTGCTCCCACTAATCTTCTGGTATATACATTGATTTATGATGTTCTCTACAAAATCAAGTGAAGAGATAACATCGTGAAATTTTAAATACCATTGAAGGGAGGCTTGTTTCAATCCATATATAGATTTCTTGAGCTTGCACTCCAATTGCTCAACATCACTAGAGGAGAATCCTTCAGGTTGTTTAATATAACCCTTTTCCTCCAGGTTTTCATTGAGAAAAGCTGTTTTCACATCCATTTGTTGCAACTCTAAGTCAAAATATGCAACTAATGCCAAAATGATATGAAGATAACTTTCTTAGATACATGAGAAAATGCCTCCTTATATTCAATTCCTTCCATCTGATTAAATCCATTGGCTACGAGTCTTGCTTTATATCTCTCAATGTTGCCTAATGAGTCTTTCTTAGTTTTGAAGATCCATTTACATCCAATGACTTTTGCACCATCAGGAAACTAAACAAGATCCCAAACTCCGTTAGATGCTATAGAATTCATTTAATCTTTCATCGCATCATACCAAAAATTTGATTCTTTACAATTCATGGCTTGTGAAAATGCTTTAGGATCATTTCTAGCTCCAATATTATAGTCAGATTCCTGTACATACACAACAAAGTCACTAGGTATCGCTGATTTTCTTATCCTGGTAGATCTCCTCAATATTTTTTCATTATCTTCTTTAGGAACTTGTGGTTCAACTGGTTGATTAGCAATTTCTTCTTGTTCCTCATAAACAACTCGATCTACTAGATTATCAGCAGGTTATGGATCTTGAATGATTGGTTGTACAACACTCAATTGAGCTGGGAGGGTATTATCAACAACAACCAATCTCAGACTTGGAGTGGACGGCTGTGCGACTGAATGATCTTTCTTAGAAACAAGGTCTCTGGATTGATTGCTCCCACTGATCAAGTCATTCTCAAGTTTAGCATTTCTTGATTTCATAATCCTAGTAGTGTGAGATGGACAGTAAAATTTGTTTCCCTTAGACCTTTCAAAATATCCAATGAAATATCCACTAATGGTCCTTTGGTCAAGCTTCTTTTCTTGTGGGTTATAGATTCTCACTTCATACGGGTATCCTCAAATGCGTACATGCCGCAAACTCAGTTTTCATCATTTAAATAATTCAAATGGTGTCTTTGGGACAACCTTAGTCGGAACTCGATTTAATATGTACACTGTCGTCTTCAGTGCTTCAATCTATAATGACTTAGGAAGCTTGGAGCTACTAAGGATACTTCGCACCATGTCCATTAATGTTCGATTTCTTCTTTCTGTTACACCGTTCTGATCTGGAGAACCCGACATGGTGTATTGGGCAATTATCCCATGCTCTGCAAGAACTTCGCAAACGGACCAGGCGCTTGTCCATCTTCAGTGTATCTACCATAGTTTTCTCCACCTCTATTTGATCTCACAATCTTGATTTGCTTACCGAATTATTTCTCTACTTTCAATTTAAATACCTTAAAGGCATCTAATGCTTCATACTTATTAGTAAGCATGTAGAGATACATGTATCGCGAATAATCATCTATGAAAGAGATGAAGTATTTCTGACCATATGCGTCCATGTCTGGACAACAAATATCAGTATGTATGATTTTTAATAATTCAGTACTCCTCTTAACACCCTTTTTGGACTTGTTTGTTTGCTTTCCCTTAATGCAATCTACACAAGTTTCATAATTAGCAAAATCTAAAGTATTAAGTACTCCATCATTCACCAATCTCTTAATTCTCTGAATGGAGATATGTCCTAATCTTCGATGCCACAACATAGAGGGATCCTCATTCATAACACATCATTTCGTGCCAACATTAACATGCATAACATCATAAGTGGTATCATTTTGTAAATTAATATAGAAAAGGCCATCAGATAATGCACCATTCCCAACAAACTTAGATTTATAAAAAAAAAACTAAAAGATGTCTCATAAAATGAAAAGGAATAACCAAAGGGTACAAGTCTTGAAACTGAAATTAAATTCTTAGAAAAACTAGGAACATCAAATGTCTTTTCCAAATTCAAAACAAAACCACTACTTAAAAATAAATTGCAGGTCCCAATAGTCTCCACAGGTTAACTCATCTTGCTTCCTAGATAGATGCATAGCTCACTTCCCACTGGCTTCCTTAGGTTTTCCATACCCTAAAAATTATTCAAAGCATGGATTGTAGAACCAAAATCAATCCACTATGTGTTATGATTAATATTAATCATATTAGATTCATAACATACTAAAGAGGTAGGCATACATTTCTTTTCAAGCCATAGCTTGAACTTAGGACAATCTTTCTTCATGTGCCCCTTCTTCTTATAGAAGAAACACCTGGGTTCTTTCTTAATTCCAGCTTGGGGTGGTATTTTACCACTTCCCTTGTTCTTGTGGCCTTTCTTATTATCATTCCTTTCAATCGACATAAGATAACTCTCTCCTTATTCAACCTCCCATACTCCTGAAAACACATGGTCATAAGTTCATTGATGGACAATTTGTCTTTATGTGTGTTGTAGGAGATCTTAAAGGGGCCGTATGGTGCTGAGAGAGTATTTAGAATGAAATGCACCAAAAAAGAGTCAGACATGTCCACTGCGAGAGTTTTAAGTTGAGCCGCAATGTCCCTCATATGCATGATGTGCTCACGCACACCCCTCAGAGTAGTGAGCTACATAGAGGAAAACTTTATTATTAAGGTACTAGCTAATGCCTTCCTTGAAGTCTCAAATTGTTCATCAATGGACTTCAGGAGCACTCTCACATTATCATATTATTCAACTGAGCCCCTAATACCAGTCGATATTTTTGTCATAATGAACTTCACGCAAAGTCGGTTGGACCTTTCCCATTTCTCATATATATCCACCTCATCTGGTTCATTGTTTAACGTAATAGGTGGTGGCTTATATTTCCTGATAGTATAATCAATATCCATATACCATAATGTAAGCAGAATCTTTTCCTTCCTGATAGGGTAATTATCCCCTTTCAATTTCGGGACATCAATTGTATTAATAGGTTGTATAGCTACAAAATATTCAACATTTATGCTTATCGTTAAAATTTGAGACAAAATAATGTATCATGATTTACCAGTGTAAGTCATGCTAAAAAATTTATGAATTTAGTGACATAAAATTTGCATGTAGGCTAAAATTTTAATTCAATTAAATTCATATAAACATCATGATAAAACAATTTAGTTATATTTCCTGATCCCTGTGGGAAAATCAGAAAATATAATTTAATATTTTATCCTAATTAATCATACAAATTATAATAGAAATTCTTGTGAGATGATATCTACTATATTATATATGACTAATTACAATGAATATTATTTACCTTATGTGATCTAGAGACTTTTAATATGTAATTTAAATAGTTAAAGTTGTTGTGGCTAAGCTTTAATTAATTAAATTATATAGATCACTAAATACTTTTTAATTTTCAAAATTAATTTTACTGCAATTAATTATAAGTAATAAAATTAAATAATTAATTATTCGGAAAAGTGTTTGTCCTTTTAAATGACATAACTTGTGTCATTTTACTCTCACAAAGAGTTGAGACTCATACCTTTATTTTTTTGTCCTCTCTCTTCCATGATTTATCTCTTTCTCTTACTTAAAATAACACAATTTTACATCTTTTAAAATGACACACATATTTCCCTAATTATATTAATATTACATGTAACTGAGTGGTTGATAGCTCCGGTCTTGAAAACCGGTATAGTTCAAAACAAAGAACTATCGAGGGTAAAATACACAACAACGTGGATTTCATAACCCTTATTATTTACCAACAAATTGAAATTGGAACAGTAACATAAAAATCCAGATGTGAAATAGAAATGGAAATCAATTTCCGTAACTAAATATACAAGGTAAATATTACTTTCATTTTACATAAAGTAATTATCTCATATTATCTCACTTTAAAAATTTCATCTATTTTTTTTATCTTTTAATGATAGGTCTCGCATGACTTCTTTCTATAATATAAGAGAAATATTCTCGTATAAATTGATAGTAATATTTCTCAATATATAATTCTAAATGTGAAACTCCATGTTAACAGTGAAACCAAGGTGTCCTAAAATATTGGATCAGTTAACCAATACCTAATATTAATTAAAAATAACCCAACAACGAATCATTTCATGCACGTTTCACGAAAACAATAAAGCCACTAAACATGCACAGAACATTCAACTTAGATTCTCACAAAATTAAAAAACATGAATATCGGAACAGTAAAGCCACCAATCATGAAATATACCATTTAAATGTGAGCTAACATAGGCACGTTTCACGAAACTTTAGCCAGTAAACATGTCATGTACGGTTTTCACGGTAATAAAATCAAACTTAAGATAGGGTTTAAATTATTTCTTTTTACAGAAGACAATTATTTTATGTTAATAGGGCATAAAAAATTGTGTTATTTTTTTTTCTTTTTTAAAAAAATGGTGGGACTCAGATAACTTATTTTTATTCATGATATAATTTATCTTCTATTAAAGGAGATTAATAAATCACTTAAGATATACAATTACACAGTACCCACAACAACAAAAGGCCAAAAACAATCAGCGAAGAGCCGAAGACACTAAACCAAATTGATTTGGATCTTTCATGTGAAAAAGTTATATATGGTCATGTTAGTTAACCATAATTACTTAT